TACATTGTACAAAACAGGTAACATATACATACATTATCGTTTTAAAAAAGGCCAAAATAATATTCTACAACATACTGGCACTGTAGTTGTTAGCAAACTTAAAAAGAAAGTGTGTTTGTTGTTTTCAGCTGCAGAGTAATACAGTCTTAGTCTTGACCGTTTCATTGTATTTGCTGACAATAAAAATATGTTTAGGCAAGCAGTATTCAAATCAAGGCAAATTACATTCACTCCTAATATCTGGCTAACACATTTGTTTTTCTATTTTTGTATTTTCCAAAGTGCACATGACTGACACACTAAGACTCTAGGCTTTGGGTCTGTGTTGCACCTTGCAGCTGCTTTTGTACCAACTCTGGCATCAATAGGTTTGAGTACATACTGGATATTAAATTAAATAATTTCAGTCAAAATTTTACTATTACAGTATTGTTTACGTCATACCATTGTTTTGCTCCTCCTCTTCCTCATAATCCTCTTCCTCATCAAACTCCTCTTCCTCATACACCCCTGAAACTTCACTGTCATCTGAATCATCCTCCTCATCCTGCACCATCTCTGCTGAATCCAGCTGTGCTTTGTCGCTGACATCCTTCTGTCTTTCTTCAGTTATTAGCAGTGGGCTGTCTGTGGTTTCTTGGCTGGAGGTGGGATCATGTAAAGGGGCCTCTGATAGTTCACCTAATGCAGGTTCTCTGACAGTTTGTTCATCCTGCATACTTTGTGCAGGATTTATAGGTTTACAAGGTAATTTATCTGACAGAGGTAATACTGAATCCAACGTGGGATGGGGAATATTTGAGGTTTGTTTTGCTGCACCTGCTTCTTCTCCATCAGCTGACTGCTGGCCTTTAACAAGCAGGCTTTGTTTGCGTGTGGCTGAAAGTGAAGTGGCAGACAAACTGGATGAGAATGATTCATCAGATGTGGAGCCACGGTGGCTGGGTGTTTCTCTGACAGAGCTCTCCTGCGGCTGCAGGATGTCCGGAAACCCCAACTCTGTTAGCTGGATATCAATGGTGTATTCAATGGACATGACTACAGGCTGAGGAGAAAGACGCACATGTTCAATTAACATCTGATGACATTAATAGAAACAGAACTGAATGCCTATAACATTAAAATTGTTTTTATTAATAGGACAATCTTATCACAAATATCCGCTTCAGTTTACCTTTGGACATCTGGGGGAATTCTTCTGACTCTTCCTTTTCTTTCTTTGTTTTCAAATTTTTACAGAAGTGCTACTCCATGGACATTAATTTATGACACCTTTGTTAAACTCGCTCACCTGGCAGGCGGAACTGATGATGGAAAGGCGTGAATTCACAACAATGGGTCAGCACGCTTCACCTTCGATGTTAGCTTTTATCCCGCAGTGAATGAGACGCACAATTTGTACGAGAAAATTAAAACGGTTCGTGCGTACGACGTGAAAAAGGAACGATAACAATTAGCGTCTATGCTAGCTACAAACTCACTCACATTCCCGATGATAAAGGGGAGTTGGAAAAAAAAAAGGAAAACAAATAAAGCACCAGAGAGGAAGTATGTGGGCCCTCGAGCGCCCTCAGTGCCTCGGAGCGGTATTACACGTTTCTTTAACTGAAAAGCTGGGCACATTGTTACTTCGACTTCATACAAGTGCACATTAAAAATCCCCGTTTGTGTGACACTGAAGTACATATAAAGATTTTATTCCAATATGAATATTACAGATGTGTTTTGTCCCAAACTACATACAGAAAGACACGCCAAGTGCTTGGACAAAATGTTTGATATTCATCCATGTAGTAATGACAGCTTCTCATTGTTCAACCAGTTATCATCTTAATATTATGTCAAACATAACTGAAGTGCTGCTGTCCTTGTACACAACCCAGCAAAGTGCTCCTCCAGTCTTTTCCAATTACACTGTTGCTATGTAGAAATGGGGTAATCCTGATATTGGACAATTAAATGAGGCACTAATATAATAAGAGTCCAAACTGGGGGTTTGTTACACAAAATACAAATCCGCTTTTCAGGCCGTACTTCTGAATTACAAGAGAGAATGGCAGCCTCCCTTGGGATAGCATGTTTTATTACACCTTTGCAGCGTCCAGACACATTGCAGTGGGGATAGAAACTGTCCATTCAGCGAATAACACATGATATACACAGTTCCTTATGGGACTCTAAGGTATTCAAGAGCCATGAGTTCCATGTAAGAAATGGCTAAGACATGAAATATTCTAATAAGTGAAGAAATAAAGAAGTACACTTTAGCATAACACAAATTAGGATTATAGTGGATCGTTTTTATGCCCACATGCCAAACACCCCACAATGAATCTGGAGCGTTTTAGCAGAACTTAATCATTTTAAAATTATTCCTCAAGAAGACTTAATTTAAAAAGGAACATAATCAAAGTAGTAAATGTAAAAAATGCACACTAGGATGCAGAAGCTGTACATAACATTTCTTTTGACAAACTGTCTACACATTTTCCTACTAGTCCTTAATTCTGCTGCAAAATATGCACTTTCTCAACTTATTAAAAAAGAACAAAACAAAAAAAAATCTTTTACCACAGTGATTTGAGAAACTCGAGACACCAAGCAATAAATCCACACCACATGTATTTCACACTTAAAACTGAATCAAATCAGTTAAAAGTTAATCAAACCAGTTCATGTTTTTACAAATTATGTTTTGTGACAAAGGCTGTAATAGAGAGATTTAACATTTGGTTAGTCAATTTAGGAGACATGTCTGTACAAAAGTTCAAGAGCTCATAATCTTTAAATCCAAAATATGCTGAAAACCATTTCAAACTCTTCTGAAACCTTCGTCAGAAGCAGATCTCCAAAATAAAAAAAAAAGAAAGAAAAAAAAAGACAATTCCTGACTAAAATCTTCAAAAATCACTTTCTACAAACTCCTTGTGGCTAAATTATCTCTTTGCACTCTGGTTTTCAGGCTTTTCCTCTGGGTGGCTTTTCTGGTGCGCTTTCATGGTGCGCTCACGACCAAAGCTCTTCCCGCAGGTTGGACAGGCAAAGCGACCGACAGCGTGAGCTCGTGACATGTGGGCGTCCAGCTGCTCAGGACGGGCAAAGCTCTCTTCACATTCATCGCAGGGATGAGCTTTCCGTGGGGTGTGTTTCTCCTTCTTGTGAGCACGAAGCTGAATCAAGCCGGGGAACGTGAGGTCACATTCAGGACAAGGGTGCTGACGGGGCGCAGCAGCAGCATCTACTTTAGGTTTCTTCTCCTTTGATGGAGACTGACTGTCATCTTCTGGAGCCTTCTTGTCTTCCATTACAGATTTTGCTGCTGCTTTGGAAGGACGGCCTCGCTTCGCTCCCCCTGCTTTTCCTTTTTCCTCTGCAGGGGTTGCTGTAGACTCTGATGTGCTGCTGACCTTCACTGCCTCCTCAGACGCTTCCACCTCATCTTTCTTTTTCCGCTTTCCCTTTTTTTCGGCACCTGCAGGATCTTCAATTTTGGAAGGCCGTCCACGTTTTTTGACAGGTGAGGTGTTGCCATTGCATTGCTGACCTTCAGGGTACTTCTCCTGATGCAAAACCAGCTCTGACTCTGTTTCAAAGCCCTGACCACACTTCTTACAACGATGGGTTTTCGTGGGGTCCTCCAGCTGTTCTGCGATCTCTGCGTCTGGACGGGGATGCTGGGTCAGGCGATGAGTACGGAGCAGTCCAGCACTACGAAAGGTTTCATTGCAGTCTTTACATACCAACTGTTTCTCTGGACACACCTGTCTTCTATGGGCTGTGAGCTGCAAAGTTGAGAAGTAAAAGGTTAAAATGAAACTAAGTACAAACAAGAAGGTGTGTAATATTGAAGCTAGAACAACAGTTTAATTATTATAAGATAAGCTATTTTCAAATATACACCATATTGAGCTAGGTTTTGGTATTTGTAATATTTAACTTCAAGGGATTTTCTAAAACAATACAGTATCATACTCACTTCAGAGAACGTTTTAAAGCTCTCCTTGCAGTGAACACATTTGAAGGGCTTATCATCCTTGCTGTGTGTTGGCTGGTGCTGTGTCAATTCCTCAGAGGACAGAAATGTGCGGTCGCATACATAACACGTGAACAATGTGTTTCCCTGTGAATAAACAGAGGATCCAAACTTAAAACAAGTTATGACTAAATGTTATTAGACAATTTATTTACAAAGTGGTGTGTAGGAGTTTGTCTTGGGCTGCTGACAGGTAACAGTAACTACTAATACAATGAATATACTGTATACCCCATTCTATGTTCATGCATTCTCTTGAAATAACTCAGCTTTATGTTTAATGTGTATTTTACAAACCAGCTTACTTGCACAAAAGGGAATGCACATTGCATGCTATTTGGGTTCTTTCTGACAAACTTTGCCAGCAGCCATCTTGTTTTCTTGTACTGTGAATCCCATTAAAAGGATACAAGATCACATTAAAATGACCAATTGTACCTTCAACCTACTGTGGGCAAACAACAGAAAAATAATGGATGCCTAAAGACTAAAAAACCCTCATCTTTAACTATTTCAGTATTAGCAGAGAAAATTAGAATGGGGAGAAAAAAGCTTCTGCAATATAACGCTCATACAACACAGTGTCAGTGTAGTAAAATAGAACTGTGCTTATTAAAACATAATAAAAACCAAAAAGTACAATATACATATATGTATTACATATATATGAGTGCATTTTTGAAAAACAAATTGCTTGTGAATTGAATGAACTGATATGTGAAGCTCACCTGCTGAAGCTGTTGTTTATACTCTTCCCGGTGGCTCTTCTTCATGTGCCTTTCCTTGGCTTTGGCACTGCAGAATGTTATGAAGCACTGGAAACACTGCAGATTTTCATGCTGGTCTAGAAAAGACAGAGAGACTATAAGGATCATACAAAGAGATGGTTGATTTTTAGCTGTTTTGAGTAAACTGAGTTGTGATCACTTACAGGATTGAACAGCAGGTGCAGGAGGTCCATTCAAAGTGATGGGCTTGTATGGTTCTGCTGGCTGTTCAGGGGGAGCCTCCGGAGGTGCGTCTGGCAATGCCCGTCCCATCACTATGTCCTCAATGTTCAAAATCTCTGAGTCCATCCTGGGATACTGAGTGGTGTCTACTGGTAATCACAAAGATTTTCCTGAATACGGTAGAAACATAGACAAGATGAAAAAATAAAGTTATACGTCACGTGGAAAACACAGCACTTTGAGTAACAGCGGGAACACTGCGATTACACCAAAGATATTAATAATTACGTTCGGGTATGTTCAACAAGCAACATAACGTTACGAATGGATCGCTGTAGTTGTTATTCTAACATAAACCCTAAAACATTCTTAAATAAAATCCCGGAACGTAATTAGCCTAAAGGTTGTTTGGTCCAGTTTTCCCACGGGAATCACTCAAGTTTCAGCTCATCTTGGCTAACGTTACTGCCTTTGAGGCCGCGAGCTACAAGCAAGCTCGCGAGCATCCGGCCTTTAGTTAGCTGCTTAAAATGCTTTAACATGTATAGCTAGCAAACTAGAAACGTTTGCATGAAAAAGCAATTGCTTTGTTTTAATGTTTGAGCATGTAGCTAACGCTAATCTTAAAGTACCAGGCTATCGAATGGACTAACACTACCTAGCTTGCTACTCGTTAGCTACTTAGCGCTAACAACACTGGCTGCCATTCAAAGAGGATCTTAGACTTGTCCTGCTAACATACGTACCAAGTTTTAAGTCAATCTTTGGCGCTTGCGTGCATTTACCCAAAATTAATATAATGTACGATAAAATGTGTACTTTTATTGTAAACTATTTAAATAACAAATATAAAACTGAATAGACGTTTACGTTACCTCTAACCG